AAAGANTCCTACTTGTTCAGTCTGAGGATTTTGTTGCGGTGGTTGATGATGTGGAAGTTAGCGACGGTGAAGAGGCGGAAGGTCTCGTGAGCTCCCACGTGATGGTACATGTAGCCACCGACGAGACTGCCGGCGCCCTTTCCCTTGTGGAAACGTGTTAAAACTTGTTATTTCTTTTTTTAGAAACAATAAAATTACATATGTATCTGATGAGCTTAGAGACCGTATAACAATATCAACAAAGGGCCATATCGTGGTCTTTGAGGGCTTCGCATTTCTCCTACTTCCCTAAAGTGTATCTGTATTTCCTGCTACATAAGATACCTCTGTCTCTTCTCTCCCTTTCTGTCACTTTACAAAACCTATAAACATATATGAGCCGTTCCCCTTGCCCTTCTCTCTCTCTCTCTTCTCTTCTCTTCTCTTCTCTCTCTCTCTCTCTCTCTCTCTCTTCTCTTCTCTTCTCTTCTCTGCTCTTCTCTTCTCTCCTCTTTTCTTTTCTCCTCTCTCTCTCTCTCTCTCTCTCTCTTCTCTTCTCTTCTCTTCTCTGCTCTTCTCTTCTCTCCTCTTTTCTTTTCTCCTCTCTCTCTCTCTCTCTCTCTCTCTCTCTCTTCTCTTCTCTTCTCTTCTCTCCTCTTTTCTTTTCTCCTCTCTCTCTCTCTCTCTCTCTCTCTTCTCTTCTCTTCTCTTCTCTCCTCTTTTCTTTTCTAGCAACCCATCTTAACCGATACAAAAAGTATACGAAAAAAACACACACATCCATCCTCCATTTTATGTAGGAAAGTAGTTGAAACACAGGGTGGCCTTCCACTTGATTTCTCGATTGTGTGTTGGCAGAAGTTCGTTGTGAACAATTCCTGTGTGTTGTAGGTGTTTATTTTTGCGTGTTTTGAGTCTCTTGGACCATAATTTCAGCGCCTAACAACTACTTTTTTCCTCTTCTTTCTTTCTATCTTTTTAGGGATGACACAGGAGGCGAGAAATAAAGATACGACAAACGAATCTTAATTACATTTGAAGGAGAATGTGTATAGATATTTTGGTGTTTCTTTACTTATCTTCAAATTTCCGAGGCATGCGAGCGTGATAGAGATGCAGATCTTGTATGTGATCTGATATATGGTATATACCCGGTGTTTTGCCAGCTGCAGTTAGAAAAACCTTGCCTTGGATTCAGTGAACGAAGTGGTTGAAAGGGAAATCCATGGCATTCGGTAGCAATACAGAAAGCACCTGATGTTTCTTTTTCCAGTTCATTTGGATCATGTGGAAAGGTATGAATGAGAACGAATATCTTATTTGACCGGTTTCGTTTATATCTTCGTCAGAAAAACATGATAAATAAGATAAAAAAAAAAATCTTAAAATTATACATAACCCTTGTGATGCTTAAAACATTTTAATATCACCAAAACATCGAATGTAATCATTTCCTTTAATGAATAAATGTCTTATAGCCTTATGCTGAAATATTCCACAGCCGAGAAACGAAATAAAAATAAGTGAATTTAATATGAAATGCATTGAAAAACCTACATTGGTCTGGCCTTTATCTCCATCGATTAATTTCGTCTGTTTTGTGTGTTCAAATTATCAAAAATAACTTTATTCAATGTTTATAATGTAAATACGCATTGACGGACAGCACGGCAGGATGACCGACATTTTTTTCTGAATGAATTGATAAACTAGTAAAGCATTCTGGAGTGGATGACGGAGCAAGACCTGTGAGGAAGCAGATGATGTCAATACTCCTTGCGTAGGGTCCAGTTGCCTCGTGGTGTGGGAACAGTGCGCCTTTTCCTTGCTTCACTCGTCCGTCTTTTGTTTTTGTTTTTCACGCATCTCTTCTAATATAAAGGAATGGAAATCTAATTTGTTTTACTCAGTTCTAATTACACTTTGGAACAGAACAGACGTTACTCGCCATCACAATGAGATATGACACGTAACCAGTTCAAAACACGAAAAAAATCCGACTGTTTTCAGAGTCCTGTGTGAGTGAGAAAAAACATTTGAATCTTTGACCTCAGGTACTTAAAAATATATAAGTATAAATATATATCTTATTTTGTTAAAAGTCCCTGGCTTTGATATTTGAATCTAGCTGTATTAAACTCAGCTACGGGGCATTTTGTGACGTGTATAAAGGTGAATAATTCCCGTGGAAATTGTAAATTGGATATTTCTTGAGGATAGTCACAGGGGAATCATGTCAGGAAGAGCAATTTACGGAGGTCTGTGATTAGAGGAGAGGATTCTTCCAGTTTTAAATACACACACACATACACACACACATATATAGATATAGTTTTTGTACATACATATAGATAGACAGACAGAAGGATATAGATAGATAAATATAGATATATAGTTATATATAGGTATATATATAGAGAGAGAGATGAAGATGTATAGATACAGATAAAAGTATAAATGTGTGTGTGTGTGTGTGTTTACATATAGATAGACGGATATAGGTATTATATATATGTGTATA